CAAGTGATGGGTGAGATCTGAATGACTGAGGACTGGGTCTCATGAGAACATCGGACACAATGAAGCTTAACAGGACAGGAAACATTAAATTCAGTTTACTTCAATTTATTTATAAAACTCCGAGTCACAGCAGAAGTTGTCTCAGGGCACAGAACAGAAACATTCATATATAAAAATAATAATTTAATATTACTTATCTGAGGAGCAGACCGTTTTAAATTTAACTCCAGCACAGAACTCTCATCTTGGCAGGGCTGTGGCTCTGCGGTTAGAGCACTCGTCCTCCATTGCAAGAGTTGGGGGTTCGAATCCACCAACAGTCACATGTTGAAGTGTCCCTGGGCAAGACACTGACCCCTCACTGCCTCTGATGTGTGTCCATCAGTGTCTGAATGTGATAAAGCTCTGATTAGTCTCTTTAGAATGATTTGTTCAATTAGCTCTGTAGAGATCTAGTATAGAGCTGTATGAACGGGTCAACGAGGCACAAATTGTTGTAAAGAGCTCTGAGTATCTTGAAATAAGATAGAAAGGTGCTACAGGTATATAAGTACAGTCCATTTACCATTTGAACAAGCATGAAGGCGACAGTGGAAAGGTCCACACTGAGGACGCACTGAACTAGACAAAAGGACCTTCTCCTGCTCCGCTCCTGTTTCCTGGAACATCTTGTAAAAACATCTGAAGCTCTCGACCTTTGACCTCTCTAAGTGACTTCAAACATCTGATAAGTTCCTGCAAGAACCAACACAGACATGTTCCTGTTGTTAGTTTCTACACCGCCTTACAATTTAGCTGATTTTTTGCTACTTTTCCTTTTACCCTGCAGAGGAAACTGCTTTCAACCTCCTGGATCCACGATCTCATTCTTTCAGTCACTAGTTCATGACCAGAGGTGAGGGGAGGAACGTGGACCGGTCGGTGAACTGAGCTGGGCCTCACAGCTCAGTTCACCACAACGGACCGGCACAGAAACAGTCAGGTTTACCAACGCAGGGCATTTCTCTGTCCAACAGGAGCTGAAGGGACTAAATCAGCGCTGCAGGAAACAGGAAATATTATTTAAATATTATGATAGAAAGACACAAAAGTAGCACATGAAATGGATCAGAGCACTATAATGACACTGACCCAGTTGAAAAATTTATATTTAATTGGAGCTGCAGATAAAAATGAATCTTAATTAGTCTTTATGGAAAGCTGATGCGTGTATATTTTATACTGTTAAAAATGTCAGTGCCCAAACATGACTTCTTTATCTACATGGCTAAAGTCAAAAGATATTTTAAATAATCCAGAACTCAAAGATTTGGGTAAAATCATTGTCAGTCCTGTTCATTATGAAGATTTTCATAGATTCTTATTTTAGCATCAATTTAAATGAGGTTTTCATAAATTACTTTATGCTTTTATTTTAGTTGAGATTCAAGGAATATATAAAGATTAGCTCCTGACTTAATTGAAGATTATTTTTAGGATGAAATAACTCATTTTTATGAATAAAATAACACGTTACTTGTTTTCAACCAACATGTCATATACTGTATTTTAACAGGACTAAAAACAGACAGTTTACACAAATTGAACCTTCATAGCACACTAACATCCACACTATGATGAGACTTTAGACAACACACTTGGAAGATAACATAAAAAATAATTAATATTTGCCCATGGATCAGGTGATCGGCCTCGTGTTTGATTCAGATTAAACCTCGGTGTCTGTATCTCCAACGTTTCCCTCTTTGTTCTGAAACGAGCACACTGAGGATGAGGAACGGGGTGCGTTTGCTGTTGTCATGGTAACAGAGTTATCACAGCTTTGAACCCTCTCCACCAGTCAGCGAGCAGTGTGGAAAACCTCTGGCACCATTGAAGATGTAGTGAACCTGATCTGACCCTGATCTGACCCTGATGACCTCAAATCTATCAGATGGACAGAGACTGTTATTTTCATTGATCTGAAAACAGTCTGAGCCATCTGGTGACTTTCTTTCCTGAATTAATCAAGCAGAAAAGACAATTCTCTATAACCATTACTGTTTTACAAATGTTTGATAATCAAATTGTGTTAGTTCCATTCAATGCTTACAGGTTGGAAAGAACTACTCATTTTTATTTTACATAAGCAGTAAGTAATGATTTTTATTCCTCATTCAAAGAAGAAATCAGGTTAATATGCATTTCTTGATTCTCTGTCTGAAATGAGCCAAGTAATGTAAGTATGTGAAAGTTGAAGCTTCGGTCAACTAAATGTTTACTGAAAAAGAAATGTCATGTTTAATCTTTACAGAAGATACAGAAGAGTTGACTCCACGAAGTCTGCTTTTCTGCAATAATCTCTCTGTCAGTTGTTAAACAAACTCATTCTCTGACCTCGACTTTTGATAACACCTTACGTCAAAAAACCACACCTCTTCCTGGTCCATCGACCAATCAAAAGCTCTCAAATGAACCGGAAGTCGACCCATTTAAAATGTGGCAACTTCCCAGTTCATGTTAGAATTCAGGAGAGTCTGGAGTCTGATAGTTCCAGAGGCTGAGGAGATGAAGAACTAGAGAGATTCTGTTAGAGTCTGAGAAGTTCTGAAGAATGAAAGGAGTTCATGGTTCTTGGGTGCAAATGCATTCAGGATGATCCAGAGACGTTTTGGGATTATAATTTCTGTTTGAAAACCACGTACGACTCTCTGAGGGTTTGGTAGTTCTCACGGAGACGCTGAAAAGAGTCAGAAAGGAACCTACGCCGACGCTGATTTCATCATCAAGGTAGATGGTTCTATTTTCGACCAAGTGTACCGTGGGCAAGCTGATATCTGATGGAGCGTGCAATTTCTGGTCAAACAGATTAATTCCCTCACATATTTCTCTGTAAGATAAATCTCCATTTCATCTTAAAACTCTCCTCTTTCTCATAAAATCAGTACAGATATTTTAGAAATATCTGAAGCAAAGTCCTCGATCACCGCCGAGTGATTCGAAGTTCATTTTTGTGAAACTTGTCTGTTATTATTTTCATATTTGCCAAATTAATGTAAATGTTTGATGTTAAACTTTGATTCTGAAAATAAATGACCGCATTCATTTTGATGGGTCAAAGATAAATAACGTCTCTCGTTACATTTCTGTTAAATTCAATGCACGACATTACACAGTCAGAAAGATGAGGAACTCGTGAAAAAGTATGCATATATATCTCATATATTGTCATACTACAACTAGTGGCACGTACCTACGTGACTACTACAAAGACATCTCAATGGCTGTCAGGTAAAATGTTGTAAACAAGAACACATTTAGTTCAACATTTTTCTAGATAAATATCAGATATAATGGGCAATAAGTTACCAGTCAAACCAGCAACGGTACTGTGCAGAAAGGTTCAAGAGGCTGCTGGTATTAGAAAGTAGCATAATGTTTTTGTTGTTTCAAGTCAACAGACTCTGAATATGTGCTTATATGAGAACGAGTGTCTGACCTGCAGACAACGCCACCAAAGAAACACCAGAATATAAAGAAGTCACAACATAAATCACGTTACGAAAAGAAAAAACTTCAAATACCAGAATAAAAAGCTCCATACACATCCATCCATCGTATCATCCATCAATCAGCCAATTGTGTGTCATGTCCAATCTTACTTTGAAAAACCACGATAGAGCGAGTCCGCAAAAAACGAACCGCGAAGTAGCGAGGGACTACTGTACTTCAATTAACTGATGTGTCAAAAACAATCTTCAACTAGTGAAGCCTGTTGCAAATACTGCCATCTGCTGGTCAAGTACTGTACTTGTTTAAAGAAGTGGCTCCAAAATAATTTCATCCATCCATCCATTATCTTTACCATCCATCCATTATCTTTACCATCCATCCATCCATCCATCCATTAT